GTCAGGGCCGACTTGATGGCACATAACAACAACAACAAAGTCTCCTAAACTGTAAGGGAATAAATTCCTCTTTGTTAAAGCCATCTACCTGTGGTATTTCTGTTATAGCAGCACTAGAGAACCAAGACACTGGGCTAGAGCACTGTTTCTCAGACTGCACCAAATTCGTATGTGGTGTCATGTAAAAAATAAAGTTTCTTTGGTCTGAACTTTCCTGACATACTGGATTAGAATTCGGAGTGGAGGTACAGGCAAAAATAAGAAAAAAAAAAAAAATTCTGGCTTTTTATGATTTCTCCAATCTGAGAACCACTGTGTTAGACACAAACACAAAGCTGTGCTAACCATGTGACAGAAGCCTCCACACTTCAAAAGAACCAGTGTGCTGGTGAGGGAACGAAGACTGAGAGGTAACCAATGAGGAAAAGCAAGGACTTATTTGTTGCTCCTGAATTTCTTCTTGAATGCTCAGATCTCTGAGTCTTCCTGGAACTTGCTGTTGCTCTGGTTGTATGAGAAAAGTGTTCCCATGAGAAAGACTTCTTTTTGAGGGTGTCGTGGGAATCCTGGATCTTCTGGGATTCAAAGGACAGCACCCCTTACCTATCTTTACCCTATAGTGGCAGGCATGGCTGTACAAGAGGCCGCAACCCTGGGTCAGCAGTGTGTAGGACTCCCACCCAAGCTTCTGCTTCATGCTTCCAAGTGGGATAGTCTCTATCTCATCCTGATACAGGGCCATGAGTGATAGAGCCCTTTCAGGTCTTTGCTCAAGTATCACCTACTCAGTGAGACACTCCCTGACACTCCACCTGAAATTGCCATCCTCCTAACTCTTTCCACGCCCTTCCAACTTGATCAAGAAGCTCTAGTGGTGCTGTGGTTAAAACATTTGGCTGTGAACCAAAAGTTGGCGGTTTGAACCCACCAGCCGATCTGTGGGAGAAAGACGAGGCAGTCTGCTTCTATAAAGATTTACAGCCTTGGAAACCCTACAGGGCAGTTCTACTCTGTCCTACAGGGTCGCTGTGAGTTGGAATCAACTCAGTGGCAGTGGGTCCAGCTTGATCATTCTCTTTAGTATTTAGCACTAATTTAGTATTTTTTTTCCTCTGATTACCGTCTTTCTCCCCTACTAGAATGTTATGCTCCACTGTGGTATAAATTTTTGTCTATTTTGTATGCTGTCACTAAAAAGACAAGAAAAGAAGAGAAGACCAAAGTGGATGACAGAAGAGACTCTGAACCTTGCCCTTGAACAGAGAATCGCTAAAGCAAATGGAAGAAATGGAAAGGTAAAAGAGCTGAACAGAAGATTTCAAAGAGCAGCTCG